CCAACACTGGCTGCATTGCATTGGTTGCCCATCTGTTTCCGTGTCAACTTCAAAGTTTTAATGCTTACTTATAAGGCCCTAAACGGTTTAGGACCTCGATATTTGGCGGAACGCCTCCTCCCACCAAGGTCTACCCAGATCACCCGCACGAGTCAGGAGGTGAGGCTGAGGAGCCTGACGCCGAGAGAGGCCTGGAAGGAGAAGACACGAAACCGGGCTTTCTCAGCGGTGGCTCCTCGCCTCTGGAACAATCTCCCTCCGGAGATTCACGCGGCCCCCATGCTGAGCATCTTTAAAACCCAACTAAAAACATGGTTGTTCATTCAGGCCTTCCCTCCAGCCGATTCTTGATTTCTCTCTTACCTTTTCTTCTTTATTTTACTTTTGTTATTGTTCGATTACTATGTATTTGCCTATGTTTTTATTGTCTGATTTTATATTGGAAGCCGCCTAGAGTGGTCCGGCGGGCCAGATGGGCGGAGTATAAACAAACAAACAAACAAACAAACAAACAAACAAACAAACCCCTTGAATAGATTGCTACCATTGTCACATTTAAACGACTTAGAATGTCCTGAAACCCGAAGGCCTTTTATGTTATTGTGCATGGAATTGTTGCCATCTGAGGTGTTGCTGGGGGGATACAGCAATACCTCCTACAAGAGTCGGCTGTGTGATCAGGGTCACCATAATCACCCAATCTCCTGAGAAGGACAAAAAACTGATCCCGCAGCTACAAATACTCAACTATCCCACACACTACACCAGAACACAAATAGAATTCTACCTCCTGTCCTCTGAAGATGCCGGCCACAGAGACTGGTGAACTTCTCGGCGGTGGCTCCTCGCCTCTGGAACAATCTCCCTTCGGAGATTCGCGCGGCTCCCACTCTGTTTAATGCGTTCCCATGGGGCGAAAACTCATCGCTATGTGAAGATTTCTGATCATCGCAATACGATGTTTTGCCATTCAAAATGTCGCAATGCGATAGCAAAAAACACGTTGCTATGCGGATTCTTCGTTAAACTGTGTGCTCGTTAAGTGAGGCACCACTGTACATAACTTTCTCTCTGTCTCCATCTAGTGGCCACTTCTGGTAACCTCGTTTTTAGAAATCTAGATTTCTAGGATTTTTCTTTTAATATTTTTAATATTTGCAGACCTTAGATAAGTGAATCAGTGGATACTGCTCCCATGGATAAAGGGGTCATACTGTATTTATTTTCAATATCTTTAATATACTTTTTATTTGACAGCCACTTATTCGCATATGCAGCTTGCATGAGCAAGCACTTGAATAATGTAATGTTTCCCTTCTACCATTATAGTGAGGCTACCACTCCATAAATATTGCATTAACTAAAAAAGTTGCATTTAACATAGCAATCCCAATGTGATGTAATTACATATTCTTAGTAAGGAAATAATTAATTACAAGTAACTCATTGTTTATAACCAGTTACTTCAGAGCCTTTCCTATCATGTTGCACATATGTAGTGTCTTAAGATGGTTTTAATACAAAAATATATTTTGTTAAGAGTGTTTGCCAGATCTGGCGAATATATGCAATAGAATCCTTTTGTCTCTTTTTTTGCTAGGATACTTGGGACCATCATGTGAAGAAAAAGTCGATCATTGTGCTTCATTCCCTTGCCAGAACAATGGAACCTGTTATGCAGATCGGCTTTCCTTTACTTGCAGTTGTAGCCCGGGATATACAGGTCCTACTTGTGCCCAGCTGATTGACTTCTGTGCGCTGAATCCTTGTGCTCATGGCATTTGTCGTAGTGTTGGAACAAGTTACAAATGCCTCTGCATCCCAGGTGTGTATGTCCCTGCCATTTTCTGTCAGACATTGTTAGTTTTGACAAAAGGGTTGATTAAAATTACATCCTTTCCCTTCTTTAGCATATGCTGGCTGACAAGACTTTGCTTTCAGCACATTATTTCAGCACTGAAACAATCTGTGCTTAATCAAAACTTTCAGAATGGACATGCAAATTGTTTTCCATATGGCTTATGCCATTTTAGAGTGATGCATTCCTGCTTTTTAATGCTGTAAAAATAATGTTAATGTGAAAAGCTTTGAACCCTCCTCCACAGAGTAGATGGAAGAAAGCCATTGGAATGGATCCAGGTTACATTAGTTGAACTTAACTCCCCTTGATTTTGGTGTGAACTAAATTAAGACAAGTCTAACTTGATCAGTTGATTTCACTAGGGCCCAAGTACACTGCAGTCCATTATCTGCATAAAATATGTGGCTTAAATTTAATTGTTGATTCCAACTAATTTGGAGCCATGGAATCAATGGTATTTAGTTGTTGACTCACTAACTTTCTGTTGATTCAGTGAATCTCTTCTGTTGGGGCTAACAACAGGATTTAGGTATGTGACTATTATGTAATTTTAAAAATATTGGACAGCATACAATCTCTCACCATTGGCAATGCCAGTTGGGGCTTATGGGAGTTGTGGGCCAACAAAATGTGCCAGTTGAGTAATCTTTTACTTAAAAGGCAAAATATTATTAAGTCTGTATATGCATCCAAGATGAAGTTGCCATGGAATTGTGGATAATAAATAGGGTGCCGGGCATATACTGGATGTACAGTGGAGCAGGTGTGACCTTGTCCATATTTAGCTGTGGCCTCTCCATTTCTTCTTTTGTACTCAACAGGATTTTCATTCAAATACTTTGTTATTAGTAAATGTCTATATTGCATGCAGTAGTTAGAATAGGGTCAAAATGTTTCTCTCTCATCTAAGTGTCAGGATTTTGATTGTGTTCCCAAGCTTTGATCCTTCCAAGCTTTGATGCTGTGGGTGAATGTACTCTGAAAGAGGCCCAGAAGTCTGTGACCAGGAACTGGGCTTTTCTAATGGTGGCCAGTACCTTGTAGAGTGTGTTACCAATGGAGGTGCGCCAGGCCCTTTCCCTCCCAGCAATCAGAAAGCTAATAAAAACTCAGCTTTTTAGAGAAGCTTATTGGAATTCTCCTTTCCTTATATTTTTTTTCATATCTGTGTTACACCTGATTCTGTTTTGTGACTGTTGTCACCAATGGGGATGGTTTTTGAATTTATTTTAGATTCATCTGTGGATGGGTGAGAGGATTGGGGCCTTATGTTTTATGTTGCACACTTGTAAACTACCTGGAGTAGTGGCATGCCACTAGGTGGGCAGTATGAAAAAATGTAAACAAACAAACAGGTTTGTGCGCATGCAGCTCTCTTCAGAAACCACTGCTATCAATTCTTTGGGTGGAGAGAGGGGAGGCTAAATTTACCACTTCCTTCCCCAAGTAACTGAGTTATTTTATTACTGCTTTTTGGAGAAAGCTTCTTCCATGAAACGAGACTGGGACCATGACGTAACTCAAATCATGGATTTATCAGAAGATAATGAACTTGCTTTGTGAGTGAGCTTCTGTCTTTGAGGATTAGTTTCAATATATTTGATACATGATATGTCAGCTTTCTTCCTGTGCAATAAAGAAATATGCATTGATTGTCTGACATTTTTTGGCCTATTTCATGTATTTTCCTTGTCATAATGACTACTAGAATCTCAATAATTGCAACTTTTGGAATTCAAAAAAGGATGGCAGATTTACTGCTTATGAAGCAAGTAATGCATAAATCTAAATATAAAACCATTTCTGACAAAGGTAATGAGTGTTTGGACTGTAAAAAAAATTGCTATCTTCTGCTAGTCTTTAGGATATTAAGTAACAATCTATATTTCATACATCTTGAGACGTTTATAGTATAATACAAAAATGTTTCCTGAAATTAAGAGTACACCAAGTTGAGTTTGCCATTATTCAAACTAAATTGCCTTAGAAACACTACTTGTGTTACTTTCTTTGCAAGGTAAATTTAGCCCAACTGCTATATCTTTCTCATGCCTGGCTATCTTTATCATGGGGAAGAATGGAAAGCCTAAGTCACGATCAGAGTATTGATATGGCATTTCTGTCCATTCTTAGGATTCAATTGTTTACTTCTGATCATACGAAGGAATCTGTGGGAATGTGCTGGATAAGCTTGGAAAAGTCCCTTTTAAAATAAGACAACTTCTAGAATTGCCTCGGTTGCAATGACCCATGTTATGGCCATATTGCCTGGAATATTCTGAGAGCTGTAGAAGAAAAAAAA